CCCTGTTGTCACTGTGGTGCTGTGAAACCGTTTTGTTGTGACCTTTGTGGAAAAGCTTACAAGAAGAAAAAAGGCCTGATATGGCATCAACGTAGACACACTGGACAAAGACTGAACTACTGCAAACAGTGTGGGAAAGGCTTCCCCACTCCAAGTGCATTAAAGCAACATGAACTCTTCCACAATGGTGTGAGAGAGCACGTCTGTGACCAGTGTGGGTCATCCTTCATCACTACAGGTGACCTTAAAGTGCATAAACGCGTCCACACAGGAGAGAAACCATACAAATGCAGCCACTGTAACAAAAGCTTCTCACATTCAAGTAATCGTAACATTCACGAACGTGCACACGAGGAGGAGAACTACATGGTTTATCAGCATGATCTTGCAGAACTGAAATCACTGGATCACAATGAATCTGAAGAGACAGAAAGATCCTCTTCTGGTTTCAGGGTCAGACTTAAAAACCTTGAGATCAGGCTCCACAGAGTTCAGATGGAGTCTCCTGTAAAGAGTGTCAGCTGATGTCACACTTGGATCTGATGAGGTAGCTCTGAACCCTGGATCTTAAATTAAATTTTGGCTGAAAACGGCATATCCAGAAGAACAGAATATACTCAGTGATTGAGCATGCATCCAGACACTACTGTCTGTACTTTATTCTATTTCTGTTGCTTGTGGGTCTCAGTGAAAATGTCCACGAATGCCTCATGTTCACCAAACTAACTAATACTAAAACTAAGGATATTTCCTCTGTATTGTTATTGTTATTGTTGTTATTGTTATTAAGTGCTCTATGGCAGAGAAGAGGGCTCCACTGAGGGCGGTGAAGGCTTCCCGGAGTGTTGTTGGCAGCAGCGTCCCCGCTACAGCAGACACGCACACCGACTGTTCTTCCTTTTACCACACTGTAAACATGCTTCTTCTTATACTGTAAATACTCGATCTGGAAGTTGAGTGCAGAGCTCACTCGATGTAAATGCATGTGCTGGAATGACAATAAACACCTTAAACCCATGAATGTGCCTCTGTCTGCTCTGACACTCTTCAGTAAGCAGTGTTTTGCATGAGTGGAACGTTTGATTCCAGCTGGAGACACAAATCCTTTCACGCAGAACAACTTTAGTGTTACACTAATATTTTTTTCTGAAGATCAATGCTCATAAAAAACTATATTTAAATAATCAAAGTAAGTTTAACCTCCTAAGACCCAAACTCTTCAATGGCATGCATTTTTGATTTCTCTTTAATATTGGGGCTGATTGGAACCCGATGAATGTAAAAACAAAGAATCACCAGATTGACTCTTTTTTTTACCTGATTTTTGTTTTTTAAGAAAAATGAGAGCCACATATGAGGATATTCGTGTAAAATTTTGATAAAAACAGTGGCAGTATGTCCTCGTAAGTGGATATCAGGCCCTTGTAGTGCAAAATTTAGTATTTTGACCCAAAATGTGATGTCCAGATATGTGGACAGGAGGGCCTAGGTAGGAGGTTAATGTTCACTGTATTGCAGAATAAGCAGCTACTCACAAACATTGAATCTCACTTCATAGCCGTTCTGTTCAAATGACAGCCTCATTAATGAGGTGACAGCCCACCCGGTGGTTCTCCACTCTTATATGACCTGTATGAATCAACACTATAAAAACACATTGGGCAACAACACAGTGGACTTTCGGAGAACCCAGTCTGTCCCGTACACATCAGCCACGATGCAGGACAGGAGAGAGGATCAACAGTGCTGATCTACCTGTACAGGTACAAGGTCAGGAAATATCTCTGCAGAGTTCTCACATCCCGGATATAAACTGTTTAAACTTGGGTGTTTTTTGCATGCAGAAAAGCATAGCAACAGGATCTAATTCAAACTTGATTGTCTACCTGGGATGTCCTCTTTGTAGTCCATCTTCAGAACTTTGTAGTTTTCACACAGCAGCTTGACATTATTAATTGACTCTCTGAGCACTGACTTTTCATTTCCTAACTCCTGTGTTATTGTAGGGTTTACCTTACAATATAAAGCGCCTTGGGGCGACTGTTGTTGTGATTTGGTGCTGTGTAAATAAAATTGAA